TGAGTGAGGAAATTCGAGTAGTTTTGACCTAGAAAGCGAAATTTGAATATCAGACACTTAGGTGCAAGATTATGCCAAAATTTCATGTTTTCCGTGCCGTTTTTGCTCATTTCTCGGAGGCAAAATGAGCAAGAACGCTCATTTGTACATCATTCGAGAGAGAAATAAATGGCCCTTTCAGAAAGTGAACCCTGGATGGGGAAATGTTGGCAGTTTTCCCAAAAAATGCTTGAATTCAAGAAGTTTCAGATTTGCGTGGTTTTTTATTTGAGTTGCAAGATCCACTTGAACATGACGCTGCTTTTTTCGAAGTTTCTCAAGAACCATTCGAGCCACAAAATTCGTTTTGGTATCGTTGGATAGAGAATTGAATGGGGGGAATGGATCCGCCCTTGCCTGTATATGTCCAAGCACAGGGTGAGTTAAAGAATGATTGCAGGGTGAAAAACATATCGGAAAATCTCGCGGGAGCAAAAGACTGGGCAACCACCTACCTGTGCGCCTACGACAGCCCCTTCGATCTGCACGACCTGAAAATCACCTCCGCGTACCAGGTGAATAAAGGTGATTTGCGTATGCATTGGAATGGACGGGGATACAAAACAATCCTGGACGTTATGATGCAAAAATACCCGAACAATTACGCTCAACTGCCCATCGACAGTAAAATCCTTCTGAACACTTCCGTAACAGCGATTTCCAATTGGACCAGCTCAGTAACGGTAACCACTGCGAAAGGTACCACTTTTAAGGCAGATCACGTTATCTTCACTCCATCCGTGGGGGTTCTGAAAGCCACCCATGGTGAGATGTTTCATCCGGCACTTCCGCAGAAGAAGGTGCTTGCTATTGAACAGACAGGATTTGGGGCCATTTTGAAAGTGATTCTACGGTTCCCTTCGAGGTGGTGGAATGTGGACTTTTTGTCGTTTGTGTGGACGCCGCAGGACAAGGAGGCACTTGTGCAGGTTTGTAAATATAGTCATAAGTTGGAAAATTTTTCATCAGGTTTGGCAAATTTGTGATCAACTTTTCAGAAAAATCTTACATGGTTAATCTGCCTGGGGTCATTGGCCCAAGCGGAAAACAACCCCAAAGTGCTAATCGCATGGTATGCTGGCAAATGCATCCCCCAAATGGAGCGTTTGTCCGAAGAGGCCATTCGCGACGGACATCGGTACATTATCACGAAGTTTCTGGCCTCACATTTTGATGTTAGCATGCCAGTTGAAATGATCAAGTAGGTTTGGATTAGGCCTGGGTAACTCAATGAATTTTTAGGAGTTGACGCAAATGGCTTGGTGCGCCAACCCAACGCACCGGCGCAGTAACTCAGTTCCGTTGTTGGAAAAATGTTCATGTCTTTTTTTACTTGTTTTCAGATTTATTTTAAGGGCTATTTATCAATAATATGTTTAACATTTCTCCAAAATGTCAGACTTTTCCAGTTTTAGCAGTTACTCTTTTTTCAAAATGCTCAATTTTCAGAAAATTAACTTAAAAATACTGACAGTCTTAAGGTATTTTTAGAGAACAAGTTTTCAAATCCTTTTCCAGGTTCGAATTTGGAACACAAATCAAATAATTTTCTATCAAAAAACGAACTGAATAATCGAAAGTTTATAATCAATTATTTGGAAAACTCATCACTTCCATYCCKCTGAMGACTGTRGAGTTTGTTAAAAAWTGTGGTTTTTTAGYTTTGACKGAWTTTTTTTGCTYTGYTTTCTACTYAAAAACGCTCTATTTTGTRGAGTTTTAYTTAAAAATACTGACGATCTGAATGTATTTTACGCKAAAARWTACWAKARMTGTAATGTAGRAATTTYACAAAAACTTTATYCGGAGTCGAATTCGGGACRAAATCGAAARTAAATTTATCCCGTTTTTTCCCGAAAACTATTAAGGTTTTCGCAAAAACCGATCACAAAACTAAAAGTTTTTAATGAAAAACGCAAAAATTTGTTATTATCTGATGGTTTTCTTCTTTTCTGACAAAAATGGGGTCTTTGCAGCCAAAAATGACAAAATTTATTTTGCTAGATAAGTCGCCTCATTCACCGGTTTGCAGGGAACTTTAGAAAACCCATTTTAGCTTCGAATGTGGCACAAAAACCAAAATTTTCTTCAAAGTTTCAGAATTTTCCACTTTTAGCAGTTACTCTTTTTTCTAAATGCTCAATTTTCAAAAAATTCACTTAAAAATACTGACAATCTTAAGGTATTTTTAGCGAACAAGTTTTCAAATCCTTTTCCAGCTTCGAATTTGGAACACAAATCAAATAATTTTCTATCAAAAAACGAACTGAATAATCGAAAGTTTATAATCAATTATTTGGAAAACTCATCACTTCCATCCCTCTGACGACTGTGGAGTTTGTTAAAAAATGTGGTTTTTTAGCGTTGACTGAATTTTTTTGCTTTGCTTTCTACTCAAAACGCTCTATTTTGTAGAGTTTTACTTAAAAATACTGACGATCTGAATGTATTTTACGCGAAAAATTACAAGATATATTTATAGCTTTGTAGCAATTTTACAAAAACTTTTTTCCGAGTCGAATTCGGGATAAAATCGAAAATAAATTTATGCCGTTTTTCCCCGAAAACTATTAAGGTTTTAGCAAAAACCGATCACAAAACTAAAAGTTTTTAATGAAAAACCCAAAAAAATTAATTTTCTGATGGTTTTCTTCTTTTCTAACAAAAATGGGGTCTTTGCAGCCAAAAATGACAAAATTGATTTTGCTAGAAAATTCGCCTCACTCACCAGTTTGCAGGGAACTTTAGAAAACCCATCTTAGCCTCGAATTTGGCACAACAACCAAAATTTTCTTGAAAATTTCAGAATTTTCCAGTTTTAGCAGTTACTCTTTTTTCTAAATGCTCAATTTTCAAAAAATTCACTTAAGAATACTGACAATCTTAAGGTATTTTTCCCAAACAAGTTTCCAAACCCATTTTAGCTTCGAATTTGGCACAAAAACCAAATAGTTTTATTCAGTTTTTTAGCGAAAGTAATTAAGATTATCTTTGAAAAACTGCAAGAGCAGAGGAAGCAAACGCATATAAACATTTGGAAAACTCGTCACCCTCATCGTTCTGAAAATTTTTTAAGTTTCTTCAAAGTTTCCGGTTTCAAAATTCACACAGTGTTGCCCAGGCCTAGTTTCGATTGAAGAAAGTATTATTAGTGAAGCACATTTTACCCTCATTTTTAGGTCAAGCTGGTTAAGCAACCCGAACTTTCGCGGCACTTATTCCTACGAATCGACTGAATCCGGGAAGGGACTGCCGAGGCAGTTGGGGGCTCCACTAGTGGATGAAAATGGGAAACCAAAGGTTTTATTTGCTGGAGAAGCGACGCATCCCTACTACTTCTCAACAGTGCACGGGGCCATTGAGTCTGGATATCGGGAGGCTGAAAGACTTATTCAGTTATATCAAACAAATGTTTAATCCATTCAGTTAGGTACTTAATTAAAAGCACTTTAGATAAAATCCAGGCTTTCCGCTGCAGGATTGAAATGGAGGCATACAATCAAGGTCCACATGCTTGAATGTTAAAACCCTCGAACGCTCCTAATGGCTTCCTCTTCGTCCGAAGAAGACATTCGGCGATACTCCTCAAACTCGGTGGTGAACATCGCAGTTCCCGAGCTGATAATCCTCAAATCACTCGAATAACCCAGCAGTTCAGCTAGAGGAACCGAAGCAGTCACTACTTGGGCTTTCCCTCTCATTGTCACACTGTTAATATTGGTTCTTCTGCGCGACAAATCCGCCATAATCGACGAAAGATGCTCAGGAGGCGTGACAATTTCCAAAGCCATTACTGGTTCTAAAATTCTCGTTCCCGACAGCTTCACTAGCTGGAAATTGAATAATTCAATGGTCAATCTGAGCGGGTGTTGGGACAAGTACCTTCTGAACCAACTGGGTCACTGTGGAGGCGATGATTGTCTCAGAGGTTCCGCGGCCGACTTCAAACCAATGCAACATAACATGAGTGTTGATCACCTTAAATCCAAACCATTCCACTGTTTAAAAGCGGCCAGTAACGACGAGATTTAATCGGTTATTTAGACTAAGGTGTCCGAATGTGTTTCAAAACGGTAGACAATTGTAAGACGTAAGTAAATAACGAAACCAATAAATTCTAAACGACCACCTAAGTGGGCATAGAAGCCGTGCA